GTAAAGCCATGCTGTTATGTTGAACTGTGATGGACTCAGGTCAGCAATTTCTGACATTGCCAGTTAAACAGAAGACCCAATGCTATTATGGGCTACTGCACTCTTTGAGAATATTTCGCTGATTTTACACACCTATAATATTCAATAAAGGAACTTAGAAAAAATGGGGTATACAGATGAATGTCCATTTTGTATCTGTGTATTCAAAGTGGTTAGGATAGATATATAATTACATTCTGTTAATGAATAGAATGATTTGTTCTAATGGTGTTTGTAGACAGGATCTCAAGTCCACATCTTGTACAGCAATTAACCACTAAGAAGAATATATGCAGTGTGTTATTTGTTGAATCTGTACTTCTGATTTGATCTGAAACTGTCTCATTGCTGTTTATCAATAAAATTTTAAAAAAAGAAAAAAGAAAAGACTTTCAGAAAATAACCTTGCATATTCACATTCTCCTGGTAATCATTTGTCATTTGAAAGATTTAGAATACTTCTTCCTCTTCAGGAAGACCGACTACTTTATTTGAGATGATGGGGAAAGCAGATATATGGCTTATTCGAACTTACTGGGATTTGGAATTTCCTCGCCCATCCTTACCTAATTTTGATTTTATTGGGGGACTCCACTGCAAACCTGCCAAGCCTCTGCCTCAGGTAAAGCTCTGCGTATGGTTCTGGTTACTTCACTCTTTCAACAGGAAAGTACTGTAGTTTTCATTCAAAATACCTGATGAACAGTAACAAACTTATGTGAAATGGAAAAATGAGACCAGGAAACAGAAATCCTTACATATTTTTTTCCATCACAAGTAGGTGAATTATACTCAATTTTATTGTCTATTTTATTCTTGTTAAAAGCAAATCTGAAGATTTTGGCACTGGCACTTAAGTAAAAGTGTCACAGATTTAAATGCATGAGAAAATAGTCACTACCATTACAAATATACTGATCAATTTCAGAGTGTCCCACAGCAGATATCTGAGTACATAGAGAAACAAAACAGGCACTGTATTCATCTAGTTTTTCTACTTTTAAAGACGGCCTGTAAAAAAGTAACAGAGATTGTGTGGAAATGTTGTAATGATGAAAGACCTCAAATTTCACCAACTAGAGCAAGACTGCACATGACACGAGGAAAATCTCCTTAAGGAACATAGCATTCTTTATGAAGAACATAATAATTTGTTAATAATTATTTTATGCAAATAAAAAAGTAAAAATTTTACTGAGCAAATAGAGGACATTGAATGAATTTGACAGCATTTTGTTTTTAGCCTTATTGGCATTAATGTGACATAAGATCGTCTCAGTGGATGACATAGTCAGTATGCTTCCAGTTGGACTTAGGGACACATGAGTTCTTTGAGTGCCCTAGATACACATGCCAGGAATGTATAAACCCCAAAGCAAAGTGGTAATTGAAATGCAGGGGTTGTAGTAAAGAGAACAGTTAAGAAAACTTAAAAGAAGATATCTGAAAACATGATGTACTTGGGAAAAATAAGTGCAGTAGAGGAAGAAGAAACAGAAATCATGGGAAATGAAGTGTTTCCAGCAGGTTTGGACATTCCTTAAAATTCCAGAAGTGGACTTAAAATGAAATAGTGCTTATTAAAAAATAAGAGCAACAGGAAAGCAAGCAGGAAAGTTAGAAAAGTATGAAGCAAAGACTTTCAAAATGAATTTTCATCCTAATGAGATGTTCCTTTAGGAAGAAAAAGAAAGACCTCATACCCTGTAGGCACAGGACAATTTGAAGCCCACAAGTCAGGGATGAAAATAAGAACATACACTCCACAGACATATGGAGCAAATATAATTTTCAGCCAAACCGGGATCATTTAACCAAAGGTGTCTATACATATGCTAGGGACCATGGACTTATAGACTCAATTTGTTCACAAAGGCTGTTTGTCACTCAAGGTGATTGTAAGACTATTTTCCCATAAGAAGTTATGGAAATACCCATAACGCATTATAAACTTCCCAAACCAATTCTTAACCAATCTTTTCATAATAAAGAGTTGTATAATATAAATAATTTCCTAAAAACAATTTCCCTAGTGTGTTCACAAAAAAGTAAGGAAATTTGTCTAGTTTTCTAGAAACAATAAATTCATACTGTACTCACCATTAAAGTTGACATCTTTGGTTTGCAGGAAGGGGATGGAATGATAGGTAGACTGCTTCCATAGAAACATCAAGAATCTGGCTCTCTGGTATTCTTTCTCTCCTTGGGAGAGAGTCTGTAGCTCACTAGCACCTGCTTCTGGCTCTCTAGGCCTCAACACTTTCAAAGTAAAAACTGGTCTAACGTTGGTCTTGTCTTCCTGTTCTGTACTACTACCTGATATGTTTACTAAGCAAATGAATACAATGATTTGATTTTCTTCTGTGGGCAGAGTGTTCTCTACAAATGTTTGTATCTCTGTTTATTTTTATAAAATTGTATAAAATTTCCTTTATTTCAGAGGAACTTTACTGCACTGATTGTTGATACTCCCCCTCCTCTTCAAAAAGCTCCTCATCTGCCATTCTCTGTTGCTCAGCTGGAAGTTGCTGAAGTTCCTGTGCAGAAAATTCCTCTGACTTGTACTCCAGCAGCTCCTCAACTTCAACTCTGTCTACTTGCAAGCCTACAGATTATACTATAGTGAAAATGTCATCAGCCACAGGATCAGATGTAGGATCAGAATCCTCCTATACAGCCCTAACAGTCACTGCTGTATGATTTGAGGCCTCGCTTCTCAGTGCCTTTAGGAATTCTCAATTAACTCCACACAGGAAAAGTGTTGCAATGCTATTTCTAGAGCACTTTAATGGTTAAATCTCTATTTGAGACTAGTTGAAAGAATTTCAGGAGAAATTCCTTGGTATAGTTGATGAAAGTTAAAGTATACAAAACATTGATAAAAGTCATATCCAAAACACACTTATCTTCAGCAAATGGATGCTTATATACATTCTTCTAGCTTCACAAGTCTTTTTTATAACTGCATAAGCAGTTGGCATTTGATCATTACTCAAGACTTTTGTTGTAAGTGAGACCTACATTTTTTTAATTTATTTTTTTATGTATTTAGTAGTGGGTATAGAATTTTTCACTAAGTAGATTGGACTCATAGTGATCCTCCTGTTTTCAGTGTCCCAAGAGCTGAGATTACAAGCAAGCACCACCACGCCCAGTTGTCTCATCAAGCCCTGGCGGTGCAGTCACCATAGCATCTAGGGTATAGAAATCTCATCCACTGTGCTCTGATTAAGTAGGCACTTCAGTCTGTTGAACCATCTGGCTGATCATAACCCAGGCTGTTTTTAATATGACACTGGTCATTACTAGAGAGTCCACAATAACTAGCTTCTGCCAGCCCAGGGCCTGCTTCCAGATGCTTTATGCTGAGATACCTAGAAAACTAAACTTGCTTCTTTTTCTCTTAAATCCACCTCAGCATGTACAGAAGAGGGATACTCTTAACAAAGTCTGACCTTCCCAGTCTCAATATATATTCCTTGAGTGCAGTGGTTTAAAAGTTTGATTCATTAACTGAAAGAGCCAACCAACTAGGCAGGAGTGAAGACAATGATTCACAATCTATACAATATTATTTTGACCAAGTCTCAGTATTCCAATAATGAATCTGACACTTGGGAATTTTACTACCATAATGTTTATGAAAACATGATTTGTGACCCTTACTAAACACAGTCAGACAGACACTATCTCGGAACTCTATGAAGTGTGAGAAACAATTGCCAGTGAAATTAGGCTCTACTCTGAATATAAAGAAGAGTGCTTTATAAACAAGATGTTAGGGTATTATAAAGAATTGAAAATTACTGTGAGGAAAAAGACATCATATATTTGATATTTTGACCTAAGAAAATAATTGCTGAAGAAAAGCCAGGGTGATCAGATGACAATTAGTAAAAGAGTTAGAAAACTTGAAAATTCATTAAGGATGATAAGATTCTAATGGTTATGGATTTCTACTATGATTTTAACTTACATCATTTTTGTTTGAAATGAGGAACTCAAAGAAAAATAACTAAACACTGCATGCAGGCAGGAAGACAAATTATTTCTTGAAAAGCAATTTAAGAGAAGTGACTGGAGTTTGGTAAAGGAAAAAAAATATTTTCATAAGTATGAATACCCCCATTGCATTTCTTTTCAAACACACATACATGCACACAATATACTTACATATATATGTACACTTACATATATATGGGTACTGATCTCATAGGACAAATCCCTTTCCAGTAAGACTTAATATTTAGCTTTGTCAAAAAATAAACTACCAAAAACAGTGCATTTTAATACAATTAAAAATGAAGCTGGGTTAGTCAGTGGTCTAAGTGCCTGCCTGGCAAGGACAAGGACCAGGTTCAATTCCTGGTACCACATCCAGTGCCAGGCCTGGAACCCCAGATGTGCTGGAACTGGGCATAGGAGTGATACATACCTGTAATCCCAGAGCTGGGGAGACTGAGGAAACAGTTTCACTATGAAACTGAAGTGTATAGTGAAACCCTATATCTATTAATAAAAAGATTTTAAAATATGCTTATTATGCAGTAATTTCACCTCTGGAAATATATGTATATGTTTATAGAATAAGCTTGATGATAACAACATGACTGTTTCCTACATTATATAGATTGATGCAGTGCAGATATATCTTGGTAGATTTACTGATAAACTATATGTACTATGTACCTGAAAAAGTAGTAAGCCTTATAAACACAGTTAATTTGGAAACATGCTACATTAAATGATCTTATTTTAATAGGGTTAACGAGAACATTTGTTCTGGAGCTGGGAGTGTCGATATTCATAGAAATCAGGTTTAATGTTGACCTCAGAATCATCCTGATCTCTGTCTGCTGTCTTCTCTGTGCCAGGTCCACGAATGGGCCTAGGAACTGGAGTCTCCCACTAGAGTCTTCTTCTGGAGGTGATCTGTAGCTTCTTTATATTCTGAGCAAAGATGACATTGAATTAATTAGCCCTTCAAAATAGAAGACAAGTGTTGTGTGAATCCAACTATATGATGTGCTTAACTTAGTCATATTCATACAAACAAAAATAAGAAGCATGCTGGCCAAGGGTCTAAGAAAATATTGAGGAGTATTTCTTTAATTGGAGACTTTTTCTCAACATTGCAAGATAAAATATACTAGAGAGGGCCAGCCAGATAGCTCAATGGATTTAAGTGCCTGCTTAGCCAATTGCAGGAACAGGGGTATGGTTCCCAGAGCGCTGTGCTCACCCTGACCTGGAGCTCACTGAGAAATGCCATAGAGACTAGGTAGTATGGTGGGGAGTGCTTATAACCCCACCACTGGGGAAGCTGAAACAGGCGGATCACTACAAGTCTGATCTGTGTAATGAGGACCTGTAGACCCTGTACTAAATAAATAAAAACAGAAAATATGCTAGAGATTGCTATAAAAAGTATGTTAGAGTACTGAATTAAACACCTTATAAAAAGGCATAATTACATGTCTTAGATATCTATTTGCAATTAGTTTTTAAAAGAGCCAATAGTCTGATAGTTTCTGGTACTACATGACTTCCTTTCCTCAGTTTTTAATCAGTGCTTTCAACTGTGCTAACTGCTATTGCTCTTTTGTAATGGGAAATTTCTTTCTTTACTTCTTCACAGGAAATGGAAGACTTTGTGCAGAGCTCGGGAGACCATGGAGTTGTGTTGTTTTCTCTAGGGTCGATGGTCATGAACATGACAGAAGAAAGAGCCAATGTGGTTGCATCAGCTCTTGCTCAGATTCCACAAAAGGTTAGATGAGGTGCTTCAGTGTTAGACAACTACTCAGTAAGAGTCTGATTCCAGGGAACATCTGCTAATGAAAGCCATAGGCACTATGTGCAGGTTGCACAGAAGCGACTATATGGTTTGCAACTATCAGGGCCATAAGGATGTAGTCCCCAAATCCTTTGAATCACAAATATGACCATCATGTATTGTGGGTGCCAGACATGAAAGTAGAGCCATTAGCACTTACTCTATTCAGTTTCAAGCTTGCTTTGGCCTGGTTTCTTCATATCCTCTTATTACTCCCCTTTGGAATGCAAATGCTTACCTTGAAACATTGAACCATGAGATTGTACCTCAATTTTTATTTTATAAGGCTTAACAGATGAAACTTTCTTTGAGTCTCAGAGGTGACATTTACATGAACTTTTGATCAGTGCTTGGTTTGTTGAGAACTTGGGAAGGAACTGTCAGATTTTCTTTTGTATAGAGTATAATAAAGAACTGATTATTGTCTTCACTTGGAGATTCAGAATGACTTAAGAATATTTGTTTCAGTGTCAAATCCAAAAGAGAAGAAATGTCTAAATTGAGATCAGTTGTCAGCTCAATTGATTTATTAGCTACCCAGAGGTGAGTTAAGCATGGAACTCCAAGTTTGCAGAAAAATCGTGAAAGAATATCCTGGCCACATGAATTGGAGTACTTGATATATCTCATGGCCCCCTGTTTCCTTTCTGGCCAATAATAATCAGGCAACTTCACTACACCATACTCTTCTCTATTGATGTTCCTTACTTGGACCCTGCCAAATATGAACTGGATCACTGAATCTGTGAGGAAAAGAATCATCTCCTTGCAGATGTCAGTGCCAGGTAGAAGCACTTTCTCTGAGTAATGGGCAAGCTGTCAAATACACCAACTTTGAATGTAAACACAAAGAGAATCAATCTTAGAGAAAGAGAAATCTCAACATACCATATTATGTTTTCCACTTTTAAGCATTGTGATGTTTAAAAGAGGATGATGACAGAGAAAATTCCTACTTATTGAATTAAAATGTATTCCATATGGGCTGATATCAATAAAATTTTAAAAAATGATTACAAATAAATTTCCTTAAATAGCACCTTTAAAAAGCATTATACTCACTTCAGAATGAGTATAAAATATAGATTCTTCAGTGTGCAGCCAGATATTTGAATAGATTGTTGCATTAGAATTATAGTGACTATATTGAAATATGTATATATTTATTCATAAAATCACTTCTGTAAGATTCAGCTTCTGAAGTATTGAGACTGTATGCCAAATTTAATTAAGCACAAATAGATACAGAAAAATATATATTTTATTTGCATCACCATTTCAGTAGTTATTCCTATCATCTCTCATTCTCACTTCTTATCATTTATATGACACAAATTAGTTGTGTGACTTCTTAAACTCTAATTTTGATCATGCTATAATTAATAATTTGGTTAAAGTAATTATAGTTTTCTTACCCTAAAGGTTATATGGAGATTTGAAAGCAAGAAACCAGCCACTCTAGGACCTAACACTCAACTGCACAAATGGATCCCTCAGAATGACCTTCTTGGTAAGACTCCAGAGAACAAATCCTAACTCATGAGTAACAGACTATTGAGAAGACAGTTCCAGAGGGAATAAATACACTGAAATTTTGCTATGAGCCACACAAAAACCTCCCAGTACTTCTACATTAATGTTTCAATTCCAGGGGAAAAGGAAGAAGAGCTATTGACATTTCTTTACACAAAATAACAGCCCTTTTGGTCAGAATGTTTCAATCAATTCCCACCTTATGTTTATTTCTTATCTCTAATAATTTATACCTAACATTTTGCCTACTGCATGGTTATTGTAAACTTGGCTGAAAACTAAAACTCTCACCTTTATTACACCTGACTCTTTTCATTCCTTAGAAAATATTCCACATTGTATATTGATAAAGTACTTTGGGATGAAAATTAAGCCTGCTTTTCTGTAACTCCAAAACCATAAAGATTCCCTGCTTCTCTGAATTTCAAACTCAAGAACTTCACTGTCTTTAGGTTCATGTACTGTCCCCTAACACATCCCATATTTTCACTTGCTATTTTTCCCCATTTGGATGTGTTTTTGATTCCTGCCCATATGGCAGTCTTCTAATATATCAAGTCTCAGATCACATACTTTGCAACATTTACTTACTTCTCAGTGGACTAATCACACTGAACATAGTTTCATGGTTATGATAATCTCTTACCTAGAAAACACTTCACGTTCAATGCCTTATATTTATTTTCTTCCTTCATTTTAAAGATTGATATAATCAACAATTTTCATTAAATTCTCCCACTGTAGGTCACCCCAAAATGAAAGCTTTTATAACTCATGGTGGAACGAATGGCATCTACGAAGCAATCTACCATGGGATCCCTATGGTGGGCATTCCTCTGTTTTGGGACCAAGGTGATAATATTGTCCACATGGAAGCCAAGGGAGCAGCTGTTAAACTGGAGTTCATCACAATGTCAAGTGCAGATTTGGTCAATGCAGTGAACACAGTGATTAATGATCCTTCGTGAGTACAATTTTTTTTGTCAATTATACAGTTTTGTATCTTGACAATAAAAATAAACATCATCCTATTTTAAATATAGTTTTGAAAGGGAAATGATTTAAATACTATGAAATGGCCTTTTTACTCTCTACCAGTGATTAATTTTCATGACTGAACAAACTGATGTTTATTCCACCTTACTGTTTGGGTTTTCAGTGCAGTAAAGAGAAAAAAGTAAGGCTTTTATTGAGGACACAGAGAGGACCACAGGAAGATGGCAAGGATCTTCTGACCTAAGACAAAGCAAGCTGGGGTTTTATACACTTTTGCTACTGGCAGAGTGTTTGTGGGGTCAATGACACATAAAGAGGTGACTAGGGCTTTTTGTCTGTGAGAGAAAGAGAAAAAGATGTACCAGGACTGGGGTGAGGAAGGAAGAAGTGGTCATTGGGAAGTTAAGCTGTTGATTCGGGACTCAGCCATGCTAGATGACCACCATAGTAATTCAGCAATTTATATTTGGACCAGAACCTATCACTTATACCAAGAGAAAACACACACAAAGGGGAAGATGGAATGTATCAGTAAGTGGGTGTTATGAAGAACATATTTTAGAATGTGGTCTTTGGTAGAGTGTCTAAGGAAATAGAGGTTAACATTAGATTCAGAAAATGGGCACATTTTATGAAAAATACCTCAAAAATCATATCCTAAGGGAAGGGATTATTTTTAATTTATTTGTATTTTTAAGAAGAATATAAAAATAATTTTAAAATAATTAGAAATGATACAGAATTTCACTAAACAATATGATAGAAATTTAACAATGGTTGTTGCATTGCATATTGTTGTCTTTAAAGTAGTTGTTCTGATTACCAGATAAAGGTCTATAAGATTCGTCAAAAAATTATAGAAAGTAAAAAGAGAAAAAAAATTAACTGTTTCTTGCAATAGATCAACAAAAATCTGCAGTACAATTTCTCAAGCTATCCTAGGTATGTAAATACATATCTTTTTCCCTTCCTTCTTTTCTTTTCCTTTACTTCATCACATTTTTTACTACATTTGAATGTTTTTTTTTCCCTTTCACACTATCCTTTGTACCATTCATATGCTACTTATGCTTTCAGGTTCTTATACTTGTGAAGTAATACTATATTTCAAATGTGGGCCTATCTTATTTCATTTATGGATACAGTCTCTACCTGCATGCATTTACTGATAAAAGCCTCAACTATATATGTTTTATAGCTGAGTAACACTCTCTTGTATAAAAATACCACGTATTTTTTATCCATTCTGCAGTTCACAGGCATTTGAGCTCTTTTTAAGATGCATCTTTGACAAATTGTGTTTCCATAAACAGGTGTACACATATGTCTCTTGGCATGACATTTTAGTTCTTGAAAGATACCTTGGAGAATAGCGGGGTCAAGTAAAATCTCTATGACTAGTTTTTTTTGTGAACTATCCTCACTCATCTTCACAATGTTTGCACCAGTCTGCACTCCCACTAACAGTGGAGAAGGGTTCTTTTTCTCCACAGTTCCTCCAGCATTTGTTATTTGTTGACTTATTGATGATAGCCATTCTTTCTAGAGTGAGATGTAAACTTAGTGTCTTAGAAATTTTCATTTCTTGAATGACACATGATAATGAATACCTTTTTGTACATTTATTTTCCATTTATATTTATTCATCTGAGAAGTATATATTCATTTCAGATACCCATTTTTTAATTGGATCTTTGAATTTTGAGGTCTTGAATTTTTTTAAATTTTTATATGTTCTGGAAAGAAGTCTCCATCTCAATGTGTTTCCCATTTTGTGGGTCTTCCTTTTACTCCGTGAGTGATTTCTTGTTCCTTTTCTTTTCTTTTATTTTTTTCTTCTTTTTCTTAAAGGATTTAGTACAGGGTCTCACTACACAGATTGGACTGGAAGTGATCCCCCTGTTTTCAGCACTGTGATTACAGGTGCACACCACCATGTCCTTCTCTCATTCACCTTCTCAGCACTCTAGGGGCAGGGCCAGGAGGGCACACCTGGAACTGAACTGGACACTGCATCTTCCTAAGCAGGCACTTTAATCAGCTGAACTATCTGGGCAGACTTTCATGATTTCTTTGGATGACCAGAAACTTTTCAAATAGAGAGATGTCAGTACTTAATTCTTTTATGAACATTTCATAAAGATTTTGTTCATGAACCTCTGCTTACTCCTATGTCTTTAAGATTTCTACCTATTTTCATTTCCAACAGATTTATGGTATTAATATTTAAATTTTGATCCATTTTGACTGTAGTTTAGTGCATAATTATAAACATGGCTCTAATTTTAGTTTTAGGCATGTGGAAAGCCAGTATTTACAGCATCATTTATAAAAGAGTCTATCTTTCTTCCAAAGAATATGTTTGGCTCCTTTGTCAAAGATAATGTGGCTGAATGTATTTGTAGTTCTGTCTGCATTAGTAACTTGTGCTATTTGTTCTCAGGTCTATTTTTTTTTTTTGCCACTATCATGTTGATTCTTTCACAATAGCTTTCAAATATAATAGGTAGCATAATTTCAAGTGATGGATTGTGATGCCTCCTGCCTTTCTTTTGTCCCCAGGATTTCTTCTACTAGTCTAGGTCTCTTCTGATTCCAGATGAATTACAGGAAATTTTTCTGTAGATCTGTGAGGTATACTGATATTTTAATTGGAATAGTGCTGAATCCATATAAGAGTTTTGGAAGTATGATCATTTTCACAATTTTGTTCATCTAGGGGGCTGTGGAGATGGCTCTGTAGAATAAGCGCTTCCATGGCAAAGGCAAGGGCCTGAGTTCAATCCCAGTTCTGGAAAAATAAAATATATATATATATATATATATATTTGTTCTTCTTATCCATGAGCAAATGATATTTTTCCATTTTCTGAAATTTTCTTCAATCTCTATTTTGAGAGTGCTGTAATCTTCACTGGCTAGATCTTTTACTTCCTTTGCAGAACTTATCCCTAAGAATTTTATTTTCTGGGTGTTATTGTGAAAAGCATGTTTTTCCTAATTCCCTTCTCAGTGTTTTTGCTGTTTGTGTACAGAAACATTGTTGATTTTGGGGTATCGACTTTGTACCCTGCTATACTATTAAATTTAGTTAATAAACTTAAGAAACTTAGAAGTCTTTTGGAAGTATTTGGGGATCTTCTATGTTAAGTATCATGTCATTTCAGAATAATGATAATTTTATTTCTTTTTTGCTTTTGGGAACAGATAATTTAATGAGACAAACCTGTGTTTGTCTATCAGTGATGGTCACGGTAGATTGACTCTATATCTTTAGTGCTTGACCACCGAAGATATTTTTTAATTTTTTTTATTTAAAATGCTTTTAAAGCACAATTTAAAAAGTACATTTAAACATTTACTATGTACTTCAATTTGATGAGAGCTTTTATTACTACGACAGAATGCATAGTTGAAAAACATAATAAATTTGAAAAAATATAAGCTGTTAATCCATTAATTTTTTTTAAATTATTCGTTTTTCTTTTAAATTGTACATACTTTGAGACAAATTAATCTTTTTTTCTTAAATTGTAAGTGTTGAGTATTTTCTCATAGTGACAAGAAAACACAAAACTACAGGGATATTCTGTACATATAGTTTCATAAAATTAGGTTGTATAATGTTTAACATGCTGGAAAATTTTGTTCCACTTACCCTGAAGATTTTTAATCTTGTTCACTTTTTAACACTTCTCACACTTCATTTCTGTGTATTGCAGAATAATACAACATAGTACAATATGCCACATTTTATTTACCAATTTATTCCTTCATCAAGTGTTCGTGTTTCAAATTTTCATTATAATGAACAAAGCTTTGAATTTTTGTATGTGAATACGTGTTTTGCTTCTTTTGAATATTAGCAAAGTGTAGAATTACTGCCACACAGAAGGGCTTCATGCTGTTGTGTAAAGGTCAATCTCTTTTCCAAACAAGTGTCAGTATTTTATACCCTAAACCAGCAGTGTAAGAAGGCTCCAATTTTTCTTCATCAGTAAAAGAACTTATTATCATCTACATTTTGTATTATAAAGGGGTCACAATATGCTATCTTATTATAATCTCACATTTCTTTTGACTTTATATAGGAGTAATAAAACTGTTGCTTGCATGCCTTTTGGTTATTTATATTTATACTTCTGTGAGATTAGTTTCAATTCCTAAAACTTTTGTGAATTAGTTCTCTTTTTACTAGTTCATTGTAAGTATTCTGTATTAAATATGGCTCAAAGAGCCTGACACTTAGTTCAGCAGACTAAAGCACTACTTAGAGAGCAGTGGCTAGGATTCAATCCCTCTTGTGCTGCCAGTGGGGCGTGCTGAGACAGTGACTGAGAGAGGCGCGGAAGCGCACACGTGTAATCTCAGCGCTAGGGAGGCTGCAAACAGGAGGATCACTACCAGTCTGATCTATGAAGTGAGACCCTGAAAACCATGTACACCTTGTACCAAATATATAAAAAAGGAAAGAAATGTGGTATTAAACCCACTTTTCAGATATTTGATTTGTGGAATCTTTCTTACATTCAAAATACATGGATGGACCTTCTTTTCTGATACATTTTAAAGCTCAAAAGTTTGTAACACTAATAAAATACATTTTCACCAATCAAACTTTCCAAAAGCACAACAGAAATCAAGTTGTAAAATATGTATATCTTTAATATTAAATCAGTATTATGCAAAATTTCAATAATGAGAATATGCAAAAACATTATTACAGAAATACCTTAATAGTTCATTGTCAAAATGAAAGTAATAAAAAATTGATTGGCAAAATACTATATAAATAGTAATAGATAATAAAGAAAGAAGATAACTCAGGATAGAAAAATAAAACAGGAAATTAGAAGATGAGAAATTTAAATATATTTAATACTTACATTAATCATCAAAAGACTAAATCATTACAAAACAAGTATAGCTTGGATTTGATATCTCATTATACATTCTGATTGTAAAGTATGTCTTTTATAATTACAACTGAAATCAATGAGTAAAAGAGCAAGTACAGTTATGTTAAGTCATACTGAAATAAGATGTTGTAAATTTATCAACATCAATTTGGCTAAAATATAAGCAATGATTAAAGTGAATATTTAATAATGCTAATTAATAAATAAATGTTCAACATAATTTCTTAATTTTTGTAACTATTAACTCTCAGTAAAAAACACTTAAAATTACCAAAAAGGAGAAATATAATTATACAGATATATTCATAATAATGACCTTTGATGAAAATATAATGAATGAGAATATAACAGAATTGAAAAGCCTAATGAAAAGTTTGAAACCATGAAAAATATAAATATTAGTGCCATAAAACTGGTAAATAAATTTCAAAAGAAAAAAATATAAAGAGTGCATTATCCAGGCATAATAGAATTAACTTTTATTTATTTATTTATTTATTTTGTATTTTGGGTAAGGTTCTACAGGGTGTTCAGGGTCTCATTACTAGATTGGACTCATAGTGATCCTCCTATTTACAGCCTCCCAAGAGCTGGAATTATAGGTGTGCACCACCATGCCCAGTCTCAATTGCCATCTCAGTGCGCCCTGGGGGTGCGGCCAGCATGGCTGGGGGCTGGGCCGACACGGGAATTAACGTTTTTAAAGTTAAAAATTTACACTTTTATTTTTATTTTACACTATTGTGTAAAATTCCTCATAATTCCTCAAGAATTTAGATTTAAGAAATACACCTCTACGCTCTTAAATTTTGACAAATACATTGCAACTCTACTTACACTGTATCACAGAAATTTTATTCTTAACCTCATCAAACACAAAAAAATGCGAATTGATAAACAATATACACAGAAGTATGTGCAAAATAGCATTAAAATAATAGAGAACAACTGTTAAGAATCCAAATTTTCCAAACCATAAAATGAAGACACGAGTCCTGTAGTTGGGAGACTCTCATAACTATATATAATAGAATTAAGTAATTACCACCAATAAACTCAGAGTAGCACATGCTATATTATTCATATATAAAAATGAGGAAAATATCATGATGTCAGTAGTCAGAACAGTACTTAATTTGAGAAAGAAACTCATACTTACCTAATTTACAGAGTTGTTCTTGGCAAACGTAACATCTAACTCATGATTTTCAGAGGTATATTGACATCTTTACTTCATAAGCAATATCAGCCAACAATATATTAAACAACTATTCACATAATGACAGTGCATTTCATCAAGCTTCCCATATTTAAAATTCGATTATGCATAACAAAATGAGTTTTAAAATGTCACAAAGTGTTAAGTAAGCATAGAACTATAAAAGAAAGAATTTATGTACATGGAAGTAGATCTGCCCTGCTTATGGCAGTGTGAGACAAGCTGGAACAAAAAAAAGGATCTGCATGTGATTCAAAGTATGATCATGAGTCAAAAAGTCTGAGCAGTGTACTTTCCTGATCTGATATAATTTTGAAAAACCTCTGTTAGGTAGAAATTAGAGAGAAAAGGGTAGAAGAACCAAATACTTAACATTTCACTCACTATGAAAAAGTTCCTCCTCAGAAATATCAAGTAGAGTTTTTCACTGGCCACATACAGATAAAAAATGCCTATGAGAAAATTTCAACATAAAAAAAATATTCTAAGATGACCTACCTCATACTATACCACATTTTCTGACTTTCATTTTTGATACATATTTTGACTCATTTTTATAAAGACTTTTAAAAATCTTTGCTAGACTTGGGGAAATAACCTGGCTCTCAACGTTGGTCTTTCTGTTTCCCTCTAGCTATAAAGAGAATGCCATGAGGTTATCAAGAATTCAGCATGACCAGCCAGTGAAGCCCTTGGACAGAGCAGTCTTCTGGATCGAGTTTGTCATGCGCCACAAGGGGGCCAAGCACCTGCGGGTTGCAGCCCACGACCTCTCCTGGGTCCAGTACCACTCTTTGGATGTGATTGGGTTTCTGCTGGCCTGTGTGGCTACTGTGATATTCCTCCTCACAAAATGTTGTCAATTTTGTTGTCATAAGTTTGCTAAAACTGGAAAGCAGAAAAAAAGGGAGTAGTTGTGTCCTCATCTGAAGTTGGGTGTCCTGATAGGTAGACATTCTCCAGTTTATTCCAGAAAAAAAGTTCTTAGGGTGCCAGATTCCCTCCTCCTGTGACAAATTCATAAATTACTTCTCCAAGTCAAATTTTATTTCCAAGGGCTATAACCCCTGCTTATGAATTAGAAATATTTCATTTTATAAGATGTACAAATTAAGGCAACACTGAGATTCTATCTCACCCAGAAAGAATGGCTATCATCAAGGAATCAACCAAAAACAAATTCGGTCAAGGCCATGTGGAAAAAAGTAACATGGTCTACTCTTGGTGCCATTGGAGACTAGTACAACCACTGTGGAAATCAGTGTGAGGATTCATCAAAACTAGCACTAGCGGTTCCATTTGACCAAGCTATCCCTGTTCCAAGTGTTTTCCCAGAAGAACTGAAAGCATCATTCCACAGCAATACATATGCACCTGTGTATCTGAGCAACTAATTTGAATTTTTATCAGCATAATTTGTTATAGATAAATGTTAGAAACAACTGCAATGAACATCAATTATGGAATGAATGAAAAATGTGATTTTTTACATAATGGAGTACTACACAGCCATAAAAAGGACAACCTTGAGCTAATTATACGTAAATGGATACCACTAGAGACCATATTCATAAGTGAAATCAAACTCATCTATAAACATCATAGTATCTCCCTAACTTAAGAAACTAAAATGTACTTCCGATTTGATTTGAAACTGTCTCATTGCTATCTGTTTATAAATAAAACTTTAAAAAAAAAAAAAGAAAACTCTTAGCAAGTTAGGAATAGAAAAAACTTCCTCAATCTGATGAAGGTCATCTATGAAAAATTTACATGTATACTATAGTTAATATAGTGGCATTAGCATTTTCATCATAAGATCAGTAATGAGGAAAAGATATCTCTCTCAGTATTTATAGTCAGCCTATTCTTGGAAGTCTTTGCCAGTGCAATATGACAATACAAGGATACAAAGATAGGAAGGAAACAAGGCAATATTTTCGATTCAGAGGTAACATGATCATTTGTTTAGAATATGCTAAAACATATGTAAAATAACTATGAGAACTGAGAGTAGACTTAACAAAGTCATAGGATTAAAAAATCAGTTTCAATATCATGTCTGCATCTTGTACAGCAATTAACCACTAGGAAGAATGTATGCAATGTGTTAATTATTGAAACTGTCCTACAGATTTGATTTGAAACTGTCTCATTGCTATTTGTTTATCAATAAAATTATGGAAAAAATAGGATAGATATACAGCTACTTTCTCTTAATTCAATGAGAAGAAAAATTTTTACAAATAGTGTTTGGATAGGATATCATGTCTGTATTTTGTACTATGAATAACTACTACAAAGACGACAAATGCAATGTATTGATTGTTGAAACTGCCCTACTAACCTGTTTTGAAACTGTCTCATGCTATTTGTTTCTCAATAAAATTAATAAAAAAAGAAAAAAATCAGTTTCAAAAGTCAACTGTATTTCTATATCCTAGCAGCAATTATTGAAAAATTAAATTTATAAAAACATTTATAACAGTATCAAAAATTTAAACATGTAGGAAATTTTTAACAACATGTGTGTAAGAGCTTTACAGCAAAAAAAAACCATGCTTGGCAAAGGGAATTTTTTAAATTAAATAATAGCTACACCATGCTGATGGAATGGAAGACTCATGGTTATAAATATGTCAACTTCCTGAACTGATTTATTGGTTTCATGTAATCCCAGTCACACTCCCATCAGATGGAGAAGCTGCAGAGTTCATTCATTGCCAAACAATTGCTTATAAACATAACAAAGGCACAAAAGTTCACTATAATTATTTTACAGAATTATTCTAAAAATGATTTCAGGACAGTGTTTGGACAGGATATCAAGTCTACATCTTGTACTATGAATAACCACTATGAAGACAACAATATGCAATGTATTAATTATTGTAACTGTCCTACTAACCTGTTTGGAAACTGTCTCATTGTTATTTATTTCTCAATAAAATTAATTTTAAAAATTAAAAAAAAGAAACTAAAAAAGTGAATAAGAGTCAAATCTACAATAGGTTTTGTAAAAGGGAATGAAACTGCTGAAAAATGAAAGTACAAGTAAGATGGATGAAAGGGGAAAAGAAAAATACATATATACATCAGAAAAAACAGTAATACTACTGACCATTTCTAGTTTATTGAAAAACCTGTGCTCGATCAATTGTGAATGATTATTTTCTAATCTGAGCAACTAATTTGAATAAAATAATATGCAATATATTAATCATTGTTAATCTCCCCTTTTTTGTGGAACTGGGGATTGAACCCAGGTCCTTGCACTTGCCAAGGAAGCCCTTATTCCACGGAGCCATCTCCCTGACCCTCTTATTATCTTGTTTGATATTCTGTATCAATTTTTTTCTGTCTTTAAAATAAAAAAGAGGAATGTAAAAATAATAAATCTCTGTGAGTGATGCCTATTGAAAAATATTGTTAAAATTTACAAATTATACCAAAATACTTTATTAGCTTAGCTATAGCTCACAAGATATTTATGGACATGTAACATTCAAAAATCTATGCAGAGTATCAGTCTAGTTTTATATAAATTTAGTCTTCTATAGTTACATTTGGTGAAGAATGGCTGGAGTGAAAAATCACTTTATCATTAGTCCCATTAAGTGCAGAAATAATATCATAGACCATAATTTGGAAGGAGTCCAAATAATACAAAATTTAAATAAGCTGTATGATAAATAAGCCACTAAATGTCCAGAGACCCTACTATAAGACACATGCCACATTGAGCTTTGTAGTTCTACTTGAAAATTACCTGTATTGCATTGTAAACATGAATCAAGCCTCACAACAAAAATATCCAGCCCAGCACATTAATTTAATTAAAAATTAATTTTAAATTATTTCAGAACACTTGAGGGAATAGCAAAAAGTTCACAACAGAACTTTTATGCAAGTCATCACATTTACAAGGCAAATAGAACCAATAAAATATATTGAAGTTGACAATGTACAATCATGCACATAAACCGTAATTAATTCTTACCAAACATAACATGCAAGCAATGTAAGAACAAAGGATTGACATTCATTGTACAGTAAGAAATACAACAAATTATGACCAAAATCATAATTAATATGCAAACATCTAAAAAGTGGTTGCAACAGTCTGCACTCCCAGCAGTGGAGAAGGGTTCCTTTTTCTCCCCAGGCCTTCCAGTATTTGTTACTGGTTGATTTTCTTATTATAGCCATTCTTTCTGATGATGTAACTTCAGTGCTTTAATTTGCATATTTTGATTGAGCAGTAATGTTGTAACTTTTTTTATATATTCTTTTGTCGTTTGTATTTATTCATCTGAGAACTGATGCCCGTTGTTGTATTGGATCTTTAAATTAGGGAAGTCAGATTTTTTTTTAATTATTTAAATGTTCTAGACATAAGTCCTTTCTCTGAAGGACAACTGGCTAAAATTTTTCCCACATGGTGGGCTGTCTTTTCACTGTATTGTTGATTTGTTTTGCTGTTCAAATGCTTTTTAATAGATTGAGATCCCAGTTGGTGATTCTCTGTATCATGTCCTGTGAAACTGAGGTTTTGTTCTTGAAACTTTTTTTTTTTTAATTTTATTTATTTATTTATTTATTTATTTTTATTTATTTATTGGCAGAACCCGGTATTGAACTCAGGCCCTTGCTCTTGCCAGGCAAGCAATTATTCTACTGAGCTATGTCCCGGGCCCCTAAACTAAAATTTAGATCTTTGATCTGTTTCTATTTTAGTTCACTACATGGTGAAAGCATGAGTCTAGTTTTAGTCTTTCTCTTCTAGATCTCATATTTTACCTCACCTTGCATTCAGTCTGTTCCATATACTTTCACTGAAGTTATTAATCTCCTGGATCTGTATGGAACTGTTTCAAGTTTTCTATTTCTTTCCTGTTTTGGACATTTATTTTTTCCCAACATTTTCCTAAGCTCCTCTAATTTTTTTTAACTGTGTCAAGTTTAATATCTGAATTTTTTTATATTTCTATCCTTTTCCATTTGCTTTTTCATGTCACATTACAGACTTGTTACAATCTCTGAATTAAAAGGGGCAGAAAGAGACACTGTATTTTATTAAATGAGTTATTTGCTTAGTTTTTTATTATAAACAAGTATGCAAAATTAATCTTTTACATGTTAACTTATATTTACAGAAGTATAGAGAAATGTCAACTTAAAAATCTATTTTAAGTTAGTCTACATTGGATAAAATACAAGTTATAGGTAAAATTTTAGAGATAGACATTGTTACTTCTAATCTAGTAAAACATACTGTACATCTTTGAGATGTATGATACACAGTTCTAAAAATAAGTAAAGAAAAGGTATCAAGAACAGGTAGAATCTTCTTAGGGTTCCAATGTTCCTGGGATCAGGCCATATTGGCAGTATGGCCCAACTTTCTGGCATGAATAGTCTATATGTCTCTGCCTGTCATGCCAAAATAGAATATGGAATTTAGTAATAGTGGTCTATCCTATTGTTATTATAACCAGAAGACAAAAATCCTTACCAGTGGCATATCACTACTTCTAGGCACTGAGATCCCCTGAAAAAAACACAAATGTGCCTTTGAGTCTTTCATCATAGGTTAGAAAGGCAAGAAAAAGAAGTCAAAGAACAGCGGGTGTCCACTTCAAAAGTCACTCCAAAGGACTTTCTATCCAATATTATTTAACATATATAAAGAAGTTGTTGATGGTTTTGAAAAGCTGAGAGATGCCTCTATCTACAATAACTAAAAGACATGTAGTTTTATCTAAGGAAAGAAACATAAGTTTGAAATTATGTAAGAACATCAAACAAACAACATGAAGGAGGGAGTATTGAAGCATTAGAGCAACAACTGCATGAGACCTCAGAGGAGTCCAGTGAAAAGCTTTAAATCTGGGCAAAATTACTCTGGGCCCCAGGCAGGTCAGCATGGATGTGCCATACACACAGCCATAGAGAACTTAAATGGAGTCCTTTATACAAATATGCCTATGGACAATCCCAGAGGACACATA